AAACTAGAACAGCCCACATCCTTAACTATTTGCGAACATTAATCTACTCTAGGTCTACCTCTACCCCTTCTAACTCATGTTTCTGCCTCTAATATGTCTCTGACAAGACCTTCATGCCTGAGAAGGTGTCCTACCAACCTATCTCGCCTATTTTTATTGACTTCCATAGAGTCCTCTGTTCTCCTATTCTTTCCAATACCTCTTCGTTTCTAACCTTTTCTACCCACGATATCCTCATCATCCGCCTATAACACCACATTTCGAACGCTTCTAACCTTTTCTTTTCCGCCGCTCCCACTGTCCACGTTTCGCAACCGTACAATGCCATGCTCCAAACGTACACCTTTAACAATCTTTTTCGAATTTCTAAATTAACCGTTCGCCAGCATAAAAATGACTTCTTTTTATTAAAGGCGACACGACCCTGCGCTATCCTCTGCTTTATATTTCTACTACTCCTTCCGTCCTGACTTATCTGACTTCCTAGGTATCTAAAATCAGCCACTTCTTCTAATTTTTCGTCTCCTATCTTTATATTCGCTCTTTCCCTACTTACATACGTTGATAAGTAATAATAAAATATAAAGAAAAGAAAATTTTTGACTAGGTACATATATGTTCCTTTTAATGGCGTTAAAATATTTATAAAAGGTCGAACTGCAGGACGTTGTCTGTATCTATACCTTTTCTTCTATGTTATATTGCTTCGCGTTCGTAAATTTTGCTAGCCAGCATTTTAATAAACCATGTTAGTAGATATTGATTCTCCAGAGATTCTCTTCAGAAGTGCATTATTTATCGTAACTTATTAAACTTTCTATGCTCTTTGAAATAAACATTCGAGTAAGTTTTCATTCGGAAGAGTTACAAGCTGACGTTTGCATACATATGTTCCAGGACTTTATAAGGCTACTTCCTTTTTTATGTGCCTTCAGGAACAATATTTCAGGAGTTGGAGCGTGCAATGTTAGAACCATAAGGTAAGTAGGGAAATTAAGAATAGAAGAACAAAGGACTTTATGAGAGTCAATAAAAAATTAGCGAGTTAGGTTGGTAGGAGACCTTCTCAGGCATGAAGGTCTAGTCAGAGACATATTTGAGGCAGTTAAGAAGAGTAGAGATAGACCTAGATTAGATTACTGTTCACGAATAGTTAAGGATGTGGGTTCTAGTTTTAGCGAAGACTAGATCAGGATAGGAAAATATTTTCAATGTTGTAGATATATAGTTATAGTTGAAAATATTTACTACGTATTTCTTAACCCAAAGGGAAGTTTCCTTCATTAGATCTGCTGAAGCCCAAACCCATAGTTGTAGTAATTGCATAATATAGAAGAACTAATAAGGAAAACCGAACGTTACCGCTCTTTTATTTTAAAATTTTTAATTAAAATAATTTGAGCTGTTCCAAAGTTTTCATACGAAAATATAACTGTGAATTTTGTAGAGAACACATATTAAAAGTATTATCCAAAACATATTACAAAACTCATAGTGTTCCAGGTTTCATGCATCGTAATACATACTAAAATAAACCCTTATGGAGGAAATGTATTTTAAATGGCTAAGTTTGTCACAATTTGATTAAACATCTTTCGATTTATAAAGTTTCGTTCGAAAGCTTCTCGATTTATTTTCAAAATTGCGAACGCCTTTCCCCTAATAACTTCTAATTTAGGAAATCTGGTTAGTACATTACCTGCTGGTTTTACTGGTTTTGTATAAAAGGATAAAGAAAAAAAATGGTGAAGGAGCGTGTTGTTGCTTGTATTCTTTTCAATAAAATATATTCAATTGTGTGCCATGTTGATGCTACATCATTATTTACGGTAATTCTTAAAAAGTAATAGGTACTTAGCGTAACAAAACAACTTGCTTTGTTGGAAAAATCGCTTCAGTTTACATACTTCTTATATTTTCGTATTTTTTTTTCTGCTGGCGCTTCTTTTGTTGTGAATCGTTTCTTTGATATTTGGTTCAAGTTATTTGAATGAAAATAGTCTAGAATATTCCATTTTTGCCCAAGTATTTGAGACGTTTTGTATTTGAAGATGTTGTGCAAGTAGCAATCCGACATATACAATAATATTACAAGTCTATATAGTAGACATGTAGCAAAATGCGAAGACTGTATGAAAAATAATTTAAAACAACTGAGGAATACGATACGTTAAAAATTTTGAAAGTTCCAAGGAAGGCAAAGTATATGTACTTTTGATCAGCTGTTTTAAATTTTCTCTAAAACATCCCAAATCCTTTATTAAATGTTTAATAGGCTGTAAAATTAAAGGAGAAAATTAAAAAGATCAGATGCCATAAAACCAACAGGGAATTCCATAGTGAAAATTTAAAAGTAAAATCTTTTATTGGATCCAAATTTACTTATACTTTGAAATTGTGTCATAAAGAATAAAGGAAAATCAGAAAGTGACGCGAGTGAATTCTTGTTCTGAATATTTTTACCTCTAAAGGAACCGTCGACTTCTTTGAAATCCTTAATCATATACGAAAAAAATGCTCTCAGAAACTGAACTCGAATAGAAAAAGAAATAAATAATATAAATNGAGGGGCCTTCTGCCTATGCGCCAAAAAGATTCATCAATTAAAATATAAGTAAGTTGATAACGGTAGTGGTAGTCGATATTGACGGAGAGAATACATTGACGTGATGCTGCCTCTTGGTTATATTTCATTGCCTAACAATTCCCTGTCATCGTCATGATGACTAGTACAAGAGCAATTTAAATAACGTAACATATAAATAAGAAGTATTTCAAGTATCTGGATAGTTATTATCATAAGGTCGTCAGTCCTAAGACTGGTTGGACACGTACCTCCACCCTTCCTATCCTGAGCTAACCTTCGCATTTCCCTAAAACTAGAACAACCCCCATCCTTAACCATTTGCGAACAGTAATCTAATCTAGGTCTCCCTCTACTCCTCTTAACTTTTCTTTCTGCCTCTAATATGTCTCTGACTATACCTTCATGCCTGAGAAGGTGTCCTACCAACCTATCTCGCCTATTTTTATTGACTTCCATAGAGTCCTCTGTTCTCCTATTCTTTCTAATACCTCTTCATTTCTAACCTTTTCTACCCACGTTATCCTCATCATTCGTCTATAACACCACATTTCGAAGGCTTTTAACCTTTTCTTTTCCGCCGCGCCCACTGTCCATGTTTCCCACCCGTACAACGCTGCGCTCCAAACATACACCATTAACAACCTTTTTCGAATTTCTAAATTAACCGTTCTCAAGCATAGATGTGCCTTCTTTTTATTTGTTTATATTATTTTTAATTGAAAAGTTATTCGCAGAATAAGTTTTCACAGGAATTTGAATTTATTGGATATAAACCTATAGATAGCAGTTTTTTGTTGACATCTGATTATGAAATTAAGCATTATTTATGACTTTGTGATGATAATACTGTTTAGTTTCGAATTATTGGTCCGCTCCGCGTTCGATATTTATCGACGTTTTAATTGGTGTCAGACAATTTTCCGCTTCCTGGGTACGTCCCATGTCGGATACAGTGTAATTTAGGATCGACATCTTGTGTTGCTCAGTCGAGGAAAATCTAAACATATATATATATATATATCTGTATATGTATCGCAGGATATTAATAGGTGTAGCCATAAACAAGAACAGTCCTCCTCGTTTTCTAACGTTTTCCTTTCATTATTTATCGTCGTCTTGACTGCAATGCAGAAAAACTTACTCCAAGAAGATTGAACATAACAAATGAGCGGTCCGTTTAATTAATTACGTGTATATCAGATACCATGCTCGTTTATTAAGTTGGATTGTTCCTATACAATAAAAACGATAATGCGCCTTTCTTCCAATCATGTAAGCATTTTGTGCCTGTAATTCCGGCACCATTCGGCTAACAATAACCCACGGCGTAATACCTAAAGCGTATTGGTTCGCCCTTTAATATATTCGCAATTTTATTATCAATCAATCTACTTCGTTCGACAAAAGTAATTTGATATATGACTGTCAATAGATGACGCGGAAAATCTATATGAATTGAAAAACCATCGTTCGATGCTTTCAAACGAATACCTAACATCGAAATTTCTTCTTTTTCTGTTTAACGACAAATAGTAGATTGTTATGGTTTTTAGATATCGTATTGGACAATCAATTGATTAATTTAATCTGTATCGCTTGTCATGTGTTAAGATGTTGGATATTAAAAAGGAGTTGCCAATTTAAATAATTTATAGGAAGAACTGGTGACGAGGTTAAGGAAGGATTTTAGGCAACTTGAAATTTTAAAAAATATCCGAGACTATTTGGACGCTGATGAAGCATGACCAGATTGCATCGAATTCATTCGTAATCTAAAGAAGTTCGGGGTATTCTGGTCATATTTCAAAAGTGCCCAAATAGTCTTGAGATTTTAACTTCAGGATTCTAAGTCCTAAATTAAAAAATGGACATAATTCTAAGGTGCTTGGAGGATACTTTTTTGGATTCAATTTTTATTTTGTTCAATAACTGCAAACGCATTCCAGAGTCTCCATTCTAGATTCATTGACATTGCTATAGTACTATTTTTTATAATTTCAAGTTGCCTACAATATGACATACCTAAATGCTTCATCAGCTCTCGGACTATATAGAAGGATGTTAAAAATATCAAGGATAGAAAAGGTTAGAAACCAGGATACACTGGGAAAAGTAGGATAACATGGGGTATTGCAGAAGCCAAGTAGGAAATGGAGAGACTGGATGGATATAAGTTGATGCATGAATAAAAATGGATAGAGGAATATCTAGATTTGATTTCTGTTGACAAATAGTTAGGGATGTAGGATGTTCTAGTTTTAGATAAAAGCAATTCGTTATTTAAACGATTATCCTTCGTGTAAGAAGTAAGTTAGTAAGAAGGTAGTAGAATTAGTACATAATTGAAACGCTTTATTGACTTATCCAAATGTTACTTATTACAATGTGGGGATAAATGGTAACAATGACTTACCCTGAAATTGAAAACGGACGGAAAAACTTTGAGGGATTCGACGACTTGAACTTTCAGGACTTCTATCTCATGTAGGCCTTCGGTCGGCAAAAACATTATCGCAGTGTCCGACAAATCTCTGAAAATATAATTCCATTAAATTACAAAAATCAAAAATGATCTGCGTTTTACGTTTCCTACTTAAGTATTTACGATTATGAATGGCGACAAAAACAGTACGAACTTTTATTAAGGAAAATTGAATTTAAAAAGATGACTTATTTTACTATTTTAAAAATTTGGCAATTTTATCTAATAAACACGTACCTATACTTCTATAGAATAGGTCAACAATAAAACAAGAAATCTGCTCTTTGCTGTAACGCGTACACGCACCTTTTCTAATCAAAATTGATTGAAAAGTTATTTTTTATATTGCGTTAAACTTATACATATATCTAGATGTTGTATGTGATTGTGTCAATTTCAAGTGCCGATCTTATTTTGTTAGAAATTACACGCCTCTAACAGATACATAGACACTGTTGTTCGAATGACCCAGTTTTTTTGTCATATTTGTGCATCCCTGAGAAAGAACAATGACGTTTTTGTATAATAATGTGCTACAGAATATATCTATTCTAAACCATTTACATTCATGCCTTCAAAAACCACATGTGTGTAAGTAATTGGGTAAATAAATTTTAAAAATCGATAAAATATAATATAATAATATATCTTTTGTCTATAAGACTTGCTATTTAGCGTACGTATTGTTTACGTGTAGCCGATGTCTTATTCGCCGCTTATTAATTTTCTCAAACTAGATAATTTATGAACAATTGACAAATAATTGGAAAGACTCCAGGAATATTACGTGATTTATGGAGGTCCATGCGAAACTTTCATGTACCACGTGCCTACAAAAGTGTCTAATAAACAATAAATGTTACGAAATCATTGCAAAGTAAGTGAAAGCTTTATCATCTAATCTTCGTTGGATCGTACGTACAGTTCGGCAATATTCGTAAGGAAATTCCAGAGTGCCGGGTACACGCGTGTTCGGTGCGTCTGTGCCGAGTTGAGCGTCGCGAACGGAAAATAATTCGTAGGTACGAACTGCCGGTTTTATTTTGTACTTTTTAATCGCTTAATAATTACTGAACTATTGTATACAAACAAATGAGTGTGTTAAAATCGGTGTTTAATTTTTTCATAGTGGTATACGCGAAAATTAAGTTACAGAAACAATGTTAACTTGTAAGACTGTCAGTGGAGTCGGATTCACACTATGCTAGTCGATGAGAAACCCGAAGCCGCATCAAGCCATGCGTACAAGTGAGCTTTTAAATACTACACCTACACATACTAAAATTAAGCAGTATAAAGGGCAAATATTGAAAGAGGTTGTAGTTTAATTGGTACTTAATCTTTGTGTTAACATTTGACTATGTCCATAAGTATATAAATCTCAACGTTTGTATCTTACTGTTGACTACGTAAGAGTACCTAGATCATGACGATAACGTTGTTTTGCTTACCAGATTCTATATTAATCTCTGGCAAGAGGTGAATCATATCTGGTTGAAACACCACATAGGGCATACAGATTATTTATTTTGTAAAAATAAAGTAATATTATACGATTGACAGATGGCGACAGCAAACAGTTTTTTCCAGGGTGGCGGTCAAATAATTACCCAACTGTATGTTTTTGTAACGTTTCGGTTTATTCAACCACCTTCAGACTTTTGAAGTGTTACCGCTTGTACACAGATATTAACTTACTTTTAAACAATTGGCAGTTATTCAACATCATAGAATGTTTAAAAATAAGTTAATATTTGTGTACAAGTAGTGTTATTTTAGGAAATATAGTATTTCACAACACTGAAAATTGTTATAACCGTGAAAATTCATAAAATTTGATAACATCAAGGGTTCTACAGACATCTAGAAGCGTGTATTGATAATCCTAAATCGTAAATGAGGGAGCCTTTTGGTAAAACAGCTTTTGGCGGATCTTCGAATCGTAGCTACACCTTTGTTTAGCACGTATGTATCTAAAGGAAAATTTGTTTTTTCTATATTTTTCTTTTCTCAGCATAAATGAAACGAACATGAGTGTCTGTATTAATTCTTATCATATTTGTAAATGAAAAACTTACATTTGGCGAAGACTTTTTAATCCAAAGAATGCCCGTTGATGGACAAACGTCAGCTTTGCGTTGCCTTTGAAACTTCTGAAACACAAATAAACCGGGTTCACTAAAACATTTGTCGTACTTTAGGTACTATTCAAGATGAATGCAGAAGACACCTAATAAAACTATATATATTGAGTAAGCTTATGTACAGTGTATCTAAAAGAATTCTGTAACTTGCAGAAAAGAAATACCTAATGTGAAACATAAAAGAAATGTGTTTTTATTTTATATTACATAATGTAACGAAATTTTTAGCAGTTCTATTTATTTAAATAAGTCTACACAAGTAATTAATTTAACACAGAATCTGTTATTTTCATCACTTATAATTTTATATCAGTATTTACTTCTGTTTTCCATATTCTGTTCATCTATATATATGTTTACAGTATTTCTCGAAACTTCCTTAAATTCTTTTTATGATGTAATATTGTTCCTTGTATAATTTATGACTGTATATGTTGTCTTCTCTCAAGTGTTATAACGGGTGTTCCCCGTTGATTGGGTCACAGACTGCAGCATCCGTTCATAACAACAGGAATCGTTTATACCCGACTTGTGTTATATTTACCCGTTAATATTGTTAAAATAGGAAAAAATCGATATTACACATGTAGAAGCTTCCATATGTCTTCCGTCCTTAATAATGAACTGCTGCTGCTGTTGCGTGGTCCATTACATGCGGAGGCTGAACTTCCGTAGTTCCGGTAATTTGCTGCGATTTACCTGTCTTATCAGTTACCTAAAGTCATTTTTGTTTTATGGCATCTCACTTTCCTTAATCCCGCAGAAACTTTCAAGTTCTATCAAAGAGAAAAATACAGAACTCTTTACTTAAAACCAGCCGTTCGCTTCTCATAGACTTCGAATGATAGGAAATCGCATTATCCATTATAATAGTACCTCTCCAAGAAGTTTTACTCGGGTGATATATTAAGCCATTTAGCGAAAATGCAATAGAGATCTAGTGAAGTGTTACTAATGGGGATATTAACAGGAAAACTTCTCTATGCAGCCAGACATTTACCATGCATGAAAGGTGTATAGAATCGCATTATTCGTATGTAACAGACACCTGCTTACTAAATTTCCATAGAATCTCATTTATTTCGTATTATTTTTTCTTTTTATTTATATTGCATTTTATGTAGACTTTTGCGACCATTGAACATACATGACGAACATGACGAATTTAACATTATCGTTTGTTCTGATTCAATTTCAGATCAGATCAACCTTACCAACCATAACCTAGCCTTCAAGAGATGAAAAAATACTAATAGTGTTAAGACCAACAATGTCCCAGTGTTGGTATTAGTCTTGTTATTGTTTAATAGGTCTTGGTTTTGGTACTGCTCAAATACTTTTAGTCTTGGTCTTGATCTTTCTGATCTTGGTCTTGCTCATTTAATAATTCTTTTAAGCACAAATTATTCTATTTACCGACACAGTGCTGAAGTTTTCTGTGTGTTTTGAAAAGGTCTATTAATTTCGCTTTTTTGGTATACAAAGTTTAATTGAGATACCATGGAAGTGATCCTATCCTGACCCACGGCTTATATGTACCTACTCTTTTCCTCATCGACCGCTTTCACCTCTTCTGCCTCTCTTTTTTGCCTAATACATCCCATTAATAACTCGTTCTCACAATTCTTAAACGAGACTTCCCACCATATCCGTCACATTAAATTGCAGTGTAATAACCCGATGGTATAGCCTATCCACCAACCTAATAGGACTGAAACTCACTTGATACAAATTCCAACAGCTTATGCAGGTATATGTTTTTTTTTATAACACGTTAAATTTTGGTTTAACTAAGACTCACGTACAGTGTGTTCGTTATATGCGAATGTTGTTTATTAATGCCGGTCGTTCTTGTAGGCCACTTTTAAATATGTCTGTTACAACCGAATATTCGGTTTCTTTGTCATTACTAGCGAGTTCCAGGTTTTACAAAAACATTAGATTTGAGTAAAATAAACTAACTGATAAGGAATAAACGTTTTAACTATTGTGTAGTATTTGTAATGGATTGTTAAAAAAAAAATGAAAGAAAACTGTAAATGTCGGAATAAACTGTAAGAATATCAGATACTTACATTTTGGCAATTTCGGAATCCAAGAAAGCCTCTTCTTCCACTGATCGCAGATCGTTGTAGTTTAACGATCTAGAAAGACATTTATATAATTAGCCTGTTACCATATATTCTGTTTTTAATTAAGGACATCATTTTTACATACTGCAAATTAAATACAGTAAAACCCACTTATAACGTATACGCTTATTACAGACTCATGGTCATAACGTACTATATTGGATATTATAGCCGGCTGTAAGCATACTATGTGTCTAATTCTCTTCTAATGAACTTTTGGTATAATGTACGGATTTTTCACATCCTCTCGCGTACGTTATAAATGAGGTTTACGGTAGATAAAATATCATAAAAAGTAGATAGTGTCCGAGACCACCCGTCTTTTTTTTTACGAAAAACAGCTCTCGACTTAGGTAATTAGGGTGCACTTAATCTACTATTAGTAGACATTTGAGATTACAAATCAACGTTCATTCCGGATAATCCATTTCCAGTGGAAACTGTTGTTTTAGGGGATATTATTGAAGAAGAATGGTCTCGAACACTTGTTAGCTTATTTAAGACACCAAGATACTATCAGCTTAATAAATCACAAGTGATATGATCAACGCTGTTTGAAATCGCGATAAGTTTCGTAACTGTGATTACAGCGGCGCTAATCTAAGTGTACGGAATCATCATGCAAAGTTAATTAGGTGTTAATAACGCTCAAGGGAAAGTATATTATAGTATTAGATTAGAACCGCAAATGTACCACCACTATATATATATTATACGCCGTTAGCCTTTTTAAAATCTCTTATTAATATTATATATAAAAGAAATTATGAGTGCTGTAAGCACGAGACAAAGTAGTATTACGTAGTTAGATCAGCAATTTCTTATGCTGAGGTGTATGATGTGTTGCATACCTGTTTACAAACAATCAATTTTTCAAATAATTTTTAACACAAAGGAAGTGATTAAGTTTACAAAAATGAATTTCGACCACCCAAAGCAATGGTGCTAACAGTTTTGAGCTCACAGTGACTGATAGGGGGGAAGAACTTGTCGTTATAATAAATTTTTTCAGCAATTTAATTAATAAATAAGTTGCCAGGCATAATATTCTTGTGCATCTATTTACTGTCGTGTTTAGTTGCACTTCAAGCACATAAATTATCACCAACGTTATCCTACTATCTATGTATAAGACGTTCCTAAAGTAAAGTCATTAATTTTAGAGGGATTAGAAGTGAATAGGAGCAGCGCAAAGTTTTGTGCGGTTATAAGTACGTAAGTAGGTAACAAATTGTGAAAACAGCCGTCATCTCTTTTGTTAACCACACAACTAGATGCGAAATATGCCTGATTTTTCAGAAAAACTATACCTAGAAGAAACTATAGGTATCAGCATTAAAAATGAAAATACAATACACGATTCGAGTGGGTGTTCGAATCGCGTTTCAAGAATTGCGTGAATGCTTCAATAAATATAAGTATTAATATATTAATACAGAAACTTCGAAACTTCTGGCACATTCTTTGGGTATTTATTCAAATACGAACATTTCCCAATACATACGAATTATTCATTATTTCAATTTCCAACTTGGTGCTTTTATTGATTCAAAATTAATATTAATCCCACTCATCAAATATATTATTTCGGTTGATATTTGAAGAATGGGAGAACAGAGGACTCTATGGAAGTCAATAAAAAATAGGCTAGATAGGATGGTAAGATACCTTCTCAGGCATGAAGGTTTAGTCAGAGACATATTAGAGACAGAAACGGCGGTTAGGAGGGGTAGGTGTAGACTTAGATTAGATTACTGTTCGCAAATCGTTAAAGATGTGGGATGTTCTGGTTGTAGGGAAATGCGAGTATTACCTCAGAATAAAAGGAATTTCATCAAATGATTCATTAGAGAATTTTCCGGCTCCAGTTCATTCAGACTTATTCATTAGAAGAAGAAAGAATAGAAATTCTTAGAGGTTAATAACTATAAGAATTAGTATTATTTTATTGCTTTTGGCTAATATTTCATAGGTACGCAGATTAGTAAAAGATTTATTTTAAAAAAGACGTTCAACCCCAGCAATTAGAAATTATTATTGTTCATATCTAGTATGTACAGTTTTATCTGCAATAGTTAAATTATATTTTTCTGCGTGGGTTATAAAATTTTATGTCGGTGTTATCAAAATTGTGTGGTAAATAAGTACATAATTATTTTGTAGACATGCACTTGATCATTAAAAACCTCAAGACCTCTTTAAGATCCTCGTTTAATGATTAGATATTTCTATGAAACTCTGCGTATATTGATTGGTAATTTTTGTTCCATTTATAGCACACGTTTTATTCACCTTTTCAAAGAAAAATTGTACAAAATATAACTCATGGTATATAAAACCAAAAATATCATTTTCATGAATATTTCATCATTAACACTGCATGTTTGTAGACACATTTAAATGTCAAAAAACTGATTACATTAATTAATTGTATCCAGCATGCAATGAGCAAATCTGAGCACGCAAACGTTAAAAGCTACATTATGATGTGTTTTCTATTTATCATTAATTAATAAAGGTAGTAAACATAAATGCCAAAGGAAACATTTCGATTTTTCCTTCGTAAACATTCACACAATTTCCTTATCGAAACTTCCGAATAATAATATTCGAAGCGTGGGTTTAAAATATTTTGGTAAAATTATACGTATTTTTCAACACCATCATTTCAAACATTCCTCAATTTAATGTGGAAGTTTCCGATTGTGGTTTATTGTAATTCGCATCTTTTATGTATTCCATCTAACTGTATAAAAGTCGTTGTAGTTGACCTACAAATGCTAATATTTTTGTGTAAAAATAATAAATGTAATTCGTACTGCAAAAGTAGTTTTTTCAAGACGTTAAATGGAGATTGAAAATGCGCAACTTTTATGTTATTATGTATTTACCGTTACCATTATCAGAGACAAGTGTAGCAGTTTATTTTCGATTCTGTTTAGTGTTCACTTTATATAATGAACCACTATCTGTAGATGGGACATATAAAAGAGATTGTAGTAACTTTCAATAACTATAAATTGGACCCTTCCAGTAAGAACGTTAACGTTGACACCATCTTACATTTTGCAACTTTGTGTTGAGGTGTATATTTATCTTGAAAAACTGTACAATTTTCTAAATTTATAAAGACTACTTGCCAATGACTACGATATCAGGCATTTTGCTGTAAAACTATTGGTGATAAATAACGTACGTTTTAACCGATTTTTTGTTCGCAATATTATGACGAATAATAGTACGAAAGATAGAATACTTATTGCAATTTCATCAATGTAACCATAGGCATGGGGTATTTTATTGACATTCTAAAAATACTGAAAGTAATAGGGTACATGACAATTTAGAAATATACAGAGGGAACGTTGGTTATTGATAGTAAACCGCGCCTAGTTGTGGATGGGTAAAAATCGTAATTAAAGTATATAGATATGCCTACAATACATTTCTACAGTATAGGTAAATGAAATAAGATCGAAATCGCAATCAGCGTTTGATAGTTTCGATAAGTAAGTTGATACTTAACAAGGGCTTGTCTTTAGTAGCAGTAAACACAAACTAGATGGCGATATGCTGCTTGTACTTGGATATTACAGTAAAGTTTTAGTCATAAGCTTCGGTAATGTTAGGGTCAAAACAAAGGTTGACCCGGAAGATATGTTTAATCCTTAGCAAACCGTAACTCTACGGAAATCCTTACAATACTTCCATGAAGTCCTTCCATAATATTTGTATAATTATAAGTTGAGTATATCTCTGACGGCAAAGGGCACAAATGATAATTCTACTCCAGTATACGAATAATAATTCGATAAGTTCTGTAACTTAGTTGTGGAACGTAATGTATCAAAAGGGTAACAGTTAAGGCATTTGACATGATAGCTCATTTTTCTTATTTCTTTTAAGAATAAATGGTAGGTACGACTAAAAAGTATAATGAAATAGAAGTTATTTTTATTATTTACATGTTTATTATAGGAGTTAGAGATAGCTTAAAATATAATGGAATTTACAAAGAAGTATTGTATGAAAATAAATAAAAGTAAAACAAAAATAATGGTATGTAAGTGAAGAAAAAGTAGGGAAAGAGCGAATATAAAGATAGGAGACGACAAAATAGAAGAATTGACCAATTTTAGGTATCTAGGAAATCAGATAAGTCAGGACGGAAGGAGTAGTAGGGATATAAAGCAAGGGATAGCGCAGGATCGAGTCGCCTTCAGTAAAAAGAAGTCACTTCTCTGCTCGCAAACGGTTAATTTAGAAATTAAAAATAGGTTGCTAAAGATGTGTTTGCAGCACGGTGCTGTACGGGTGCAAAATATGGACAGTGGGTAAATTAGGAGGGGTAGAGGTAGACTTAGATTAGATTACTGTTCGCAAATAGTTAAGGATATAGGTTGGGGAAGATTAGCTCAGGATAGGAAAGAGTGGAGGTGCGTGTCCAATCAGTCTTAGGACTGACGACCTTATAATGATGGTAGGTATATTATATAATAATTATTATGCATTTATTTAAATAATAATTCAAATATCATATTTAAATGATATTAACATGCAGTAGTGCTCCTACTGGCGTTATTAGACCCAGTTAGCTAACATCAGTAGCGACCGCCAAGACCAGAGAACTGGTTTCTATTTTGCACTGTTGTTGCTCCTTGAATCTCTTCAATATTAGTTTATCTTAAAAAAGACGTTCAACCCCAGCAATTAGAAATTATTATTGTTCATATCTAGTATGTACAGTTTTATCTGCAATAGTTAAATTATATTTTTCTGCGTGGGTTATAAAATTTTATGTCGGTGTTATCAAAATTGNGACCGCACAGAGCGGCCGCCTACCCAGGATCGGCCCTGTCTATATAATTATATATACGCGTTCCGGTAAAAAAAAATTAGCACAACACCACTGGTTTTAAAGGTTTCCTGAATATCCAACTATCATCATAAATTAGGAAAATGAACAATTTAAGAATCTAAGGGTTTCCTTAAATGCATATATACGATCGTTA